ACTGGTCGGGCGAAAAGGGACTTGAATTATTCAATAGCTGGGGTCTTTCTGAAGACGACGAGAAAGTSCTAAAAAATTACTTCGACAGATTTGAGAACTTTGTGAAACCACATTCTAATGAGTTAATGGCTTCATGGGAGCTCTACAACATAAAACAAGGATCGCTTACATTGGAAGAGTTCATTGCCAAGTTGAGACTACTAATAAAGGAGGCAAACTACCCGTCAGCACATCACGAACGATTTCTACGAGATTTTCTGGTGTTTGGAATGAATTCTCAGCGCGTCAGGAAGGAATGTCTAAAGGAAGGTAACACACTTACATTCCAGAAAGCCAAAGATCTTGCTAAGGCGGACGAATCTGGTGAAACACAACTCAAAATGATGAACAAGGCAACAGAGGTAAACGYAGTTAAGAAACACGTAGCAAGAAGAGCAAGTAAGTCGGAMAATACTCTACCTAGTACAGATACATTACAAAAATCATGTTTTGGTTGTGGACGCGGCCCACATACACGTGACAAGTGCCCTGCAAAAAGTGCCAAATGTCATTTTTGCAAGAAACTTGGACACTTTGCAAGCGTATGCCTTRCAAAGAAGAAAAAAAAAGTGTACATGAATTGGAKGCARAACTTGCAACAGACAGTGAATTTTGCCTTCCTGAGTCATCTGTGTTTATGGGCCCAATCGAAGCAACACCCTTGAGTGTGAATRCAGTCACATGTAAAGAGAAAGCTCTATTGAGTGTTAAAATAGCACCTAAACGGGGGGCGGCTCAAACAACGGTCACATGCAAGATAGACTCGGGAGCAGAAAYAAAYATTATACCTAAGTCTCTAYACAACCAAGTATTTCCAAAAACATCAAAGTTAGGRAAACCTAACGTGAAAYTATCTGCATACGGTGGGACTGAAATTCCTAACYTGGGGTCTTGCAAGTTATATGTCCAGGGTCCCCATAACTCTGAGCCAAAACAGATACCATTTGAKGTTGTAGATGTCACGGGACCAGCTATAATTGGCAACACCACTGGCCAAGAATTGAATCTGTTAAAGTKGAATTGGCCTGTGACAACTACTCCAAACCCACACAATGGGAAAAAACACCCACACCCACTAACAAAAGAGTATTTACTGCAAGAGTACAAAGATGTCTTTTCAGGTATTGGTTTGTTCCCTGGACAGCCTTACCACATTGAGGTAGATGAGAGCATCCCTCCGGTACAGCATCCACCTAGACAAGTGGCTGTTCAATATCAACCTGCGTACAAGAAAGAGCTGGAAAGATTAACAGATCTTGGAATCATCACTAAAGTACAAAACGAATTCACACCATGGGTCAACTCAGTCGTAGTCACAACCAAAGCGGACGGATCAATCCGCTTGTGCCTTGATCCTCGGGATCTGAATAAAGCTGTGAAATGGAATGCATACTACGCTCGAACAGTAGACGATGTCATACCTGAAGTCAGCGGTTCTACACACTTTAGCATCTTAGATGCAAGGAGCGGCTATTAGCAAACCTTGCTTGATGACGAAAGCAGTAAGCTATGCACCTTCAGCACTCCTTGGGGGAAGTTCAGATGGAATCGCCTTCCATTTGGGCTGACCTGCAGCGAAGACGTCTTTCAAGAAAAGATGGACGCCGTGTTTGGACAAGTAGACGGACTAACCGGAATAGCTGACGACACTTTTGTCCACGGGAAAGGTGAAGATGATYATGATCAACACATACTCTCTTSACACAGCAAGAGATAACAATGTGAAATTCAACCCGGAAAAGTTCCAGTTTAAAGTTGCTGAAACGTCTTTCTTCGGGTTAACGTGGACCTCAGAGGGTCTCAGACCAAACGAGAAAAAAGTGATGGGCATTGTTGATATGCAACCACCACAGAACTTAACAGAGTTACAGTCATTCATGGGAATGATCAACTACCTCAACAGATTTCTCCAGTGATAGCACAGACATCTGAACCACTGCGCCAGCTGATGAAGAAGGAAGTACCCTTCGTATGGCAACCAGAGCATCAAAAAGCATTCCTTGATCTTAAACGTGTGATATCTGAAGCACCAGTATTGGCGTACTACGACGGATGCAAACAAAGAAAACGTGATCCAATCAGATGCGAGTCTAAAGGGGTTAGGATGTGTCCTGTTGCAGGATGGTAAACCCGTTTGTTATGCAAGCCGTTCACTCAGTKATGCTGAAAGAAGATACAGTAACATTGAACGTGAACTTCTAGCAGCCTGCTGGTCGTTAGAGAAACTAAATCACTATATCTATGGAAAGAATGTACGTMTGGAAACTGATCATAARCCGTTGGAGAGTATCTGGAAGAAGAGCATCTCGTGTGCCTCACCTAGACTACAAAGACTCCTTCTCAGGATGGCCAAGTATGACGTTGATGTGAAGTACATACCTGGCAAGATCAATGTTGTGGCTGATGCGATGTCACGAGTAAGCCACATGGAGGCTGCGACAGAAGATAACGAGCTACCGACAATTGAAGTTGACACAGTCACAAGGACACTTCCAGCGACACCTGCGAAGTTGGAGGAAATTCGGGACGCAACAAACAAGGATGAGACACTATGTCATCTAAAAGACCTGGTATATAATGGATGGCCAGAGCTCTTCAAGGACTGCYYAACAGATCTGAAAGACTACTGGAACTACAGAGAGAATGTCGAGAATGGCCTGGTACTTAAGGGTCATCGATTGATCATACCGGAAAAGCTTCGGGCAACGATGCTTCAACTTGTCCATCAAGGCCACATGGGTGTAGAAAAGTGCTTACTTCGGGCCAGAATATCGAAAGATATAAAGGAACTCACCTCAAGTTCTTCCACATATATGTATAGAGTACAACAACCGTATACAAAACATGCAGTATACAAAAGTATACAAAACAACAACCGAAAGAAACACTACTCCAGTACAACCTACCAAGTTTCCCCTGGCAGATGCTTCGCTCTGACCTGTTTGACCACCGTGGATGTCAGTACCTACTGCTCGCTGACTACTTCAGCAAGTTTCCAGTAATCAGAAAGCTGAATACAAGCACATCCAGTGCCATTATAAACCACCTGAAATCAATATTCGCGGAACATGGAATACCTGAAGAACTGGTAACAGACAACGGACCCCAATATAGCAGCAAAGAATTTGCAAAGTTCTGTTCTAGCTGGGGAATAAAACACAGAACCAGTTCACCGCTCTTCCCACAAAGCAATGGTTTCAGTGAGAGGATGGTGCAAACGGTGAAGAACCTCTTGAGGAAGGCCGACGACGCGGGGGAAGACCCTTACATAGCCCTACTAAACTATCGTACTACACCTGTTGATAGCAAGCTACATGCACCTGCGAAACTGTTGAACCAAAGGGAGTACCGGACACAGTTACCATCAAGTGGTCGCCTTCAACGACTAAGGACCAACGATGACGACTTGCTACAATTGCAAAAACGTCAAGAGACTCAACGACAACAACACGGACAATATTTCAGGAGAGAATTAGAAGGTTTGTCACCTGGACAATCAGTTGCTGTTTACAACCCATCGTCAAGGACTTGGACTACTGGTGAAGTAAACGAAAAGCTTGGTGAGCCACGATCTTATGTTGTTAAGACAACTAATGGTTCCGAGTTGAGACGCAATCGTGTTCATCTAAAACCGGTACCACAGAAACAGACAGCCGAGCAAGCTACTCAAGGAAGCATGTCAGAGTCCAAGGAACCACCACCTTCTATGCTGTAATGTTATGTGCATATATAATTAGTTCAGTTGATTGACAGTTTCACATGTAATATTTGTCATATGTAAATTAGTTCGTTAGTTCGCTCGCTAACCTACATCATGTGTACATGTTGAGTTAAATAAACTACAGTCTACCACAGAAGAGTCAATTTACAT